CAACTCCCATGGCTGGCTGGGGAATTCTGGGAGTTGAAGTCCACTCATCTTAAAGTGCCCAGGTTTGGGCAACACTGGGCTAGACTGATGTAGGATGTAGATTAGGGGGAGGTGGGGAGGGAAAGGGAGGGGAAGACAGTTTGGTTATGCAGATGGAGACTACATAAGACAGATCAGAAACCTTTATCAATTAACAAATATAATGTGTTAAAACCCATTGTGTTTGTTGCGATCTTCCAAGATGGCCTGAAACCTTTGAACAGATGTGAGTTCAACAATTTCTTGCTTGAGGGTGCTGTTAAAGTCCTGCTTTTCCAAAACAGTGTACAAACACAATACAAAGTAGAATAAAATAAAAATAACACGGTGAGGAATAACAGTAATAGAGGTGGTCATTTTCCTCTGGCTGACCAAACGTCTTTGAGAAAAAACAGGTTGTAACAGGCCATTGGGGGGGGGGGGATTCTTGCATCAAGGGAGAAGCTATTCCAAAGGAGGTGAGCAGTTACAGAGAATGCCCCCCTCTTGAGCCCCCTTCTCATTGTATCTCCTGCGAAGCTCGTACCTAGCTGATGCTTATAAAGGCAACCAGTAATAAATCTTGAATAAGTCTTTATATTCTAAATGTCTAATGCTCATTACCACTCTGAATTAGTCATTCTTTATACATAATATCATTCAAAATGATTAATTGTATGTCATTGTAAATAACTGAACTCAGCTGGATTGTTGATTTCTAATCACAGTCACTTGTATTTGTTTTCTTCATAACGGACAATATTTTTCCCTCTTGTCAACTTGAAGTTCTGCTTGTGTATGAAAATAAAATGGGTTTTGTGAGGATCATCAGGTTGCCAACCGTATGGTCAATATCCTCTCCTAGCCAATATTTGCTGGGTTTTAGTGAAACAGAGCAACTGGAAATATGAATAGTCTTCATTAAAAGCAGAACAAAGGTCCTCAAGAAGGCAATAATCCATCAACCGGAGGGCTGGAATTCTAAAGAGAAGTTTAAGCAGCTTCCCCAAATGTGGGAATTCTTGCCTTGAAGTAGTGGATATTTCTCATGGAGAACCATGTGTCCTAAAAGTTCCAGCTTCCTTTCCTTGATGGTATCCAGTTTCTCTGTCATTGCCCCTACTTTGGAAAACAATCTTGTTTCTTACACATTCATCCCATGATATTTTAAATCATCTTCTGTAAAGCCACCTTTACATATCCTGGTTGCACAATCTACATGTGTGGTTTGGCAAAAAAACCCTACAATCTTCTTGTTTAGGACAGTAAAATCAAAATAATAAGTAGGATTGTTGATCACCAAGCTCCAGAAGGAGATGGTGCTAAACAAAAATTGAAAGCAATTATTTATGTTACTTAAATATCACTTAGTTACCAATATGTCTGTCATTCCTTCTCTGCCCAATATGCCTCACAGGGTATTTATTGGGGCAAATAAATAGAAGTTTTATTAATATAACTCTGAGCACCTGGAGAGCATGAATTCAACTGAATCAACTGAATTTAAAAAAGAACACTGCATTTTCCCATTCTACATGGAGTGGCAAATCCTACCCCTCATATATCTAAATGAACAAAATTGGGAAGATTATCTTATGTGATCTCAGACCAGGATACCAATA